GGTTTTTATTTCATTTTATGGTCTTGCAAAGCTTAATTGTTGTGTCTTGATAATTTATTATACCCCAGAATCATGAAAATATAAATAGTTGTTGAATAAAATTCAATATTTTGGATACCAACGTGTAAACAAAGCCTTTGTTTACATATGGACTGTACCGCATCTATAATAAACTGCTATGGAATATTATAAAACTTTAATATAAACATTAATTTTGCTAAGAGTGGTTAAAATGATTTAATTAAACAATGAAATCATAAACCTTTAATAGTATTGTATTTAAATTTGCATGGCACAGGTAATAAGTTTCGCAAAAGTGAAACCATTTGTCAAATTGCCGGGGTCCTCAGCGATTATAACAATACCTGACCCCTGTGCACGTATATGACAGGCAAATTCCCGACCCCTGTGAACTGTCTATCAGGCAAATTCCCGGGGCTGTCCCGGGGGGGGGGATGGTTACATCAGGAATTGACTTGTATATTATATAAATAGACATCTTGTTTTATTGTTGTATTGATTTTAATCTGAAAAAAATTACAAAGTAGGTCAAGGCAATGGATAAATTACTCATTTATTTACTAAAGCACATTTTTACAGTTATGTACTTATTTTGCATGAGTGTACATGACAGATTGTTTTAATTATATATAGAAAGTTATCATTTATAACCCATGGTTTGTTTAAAAAATGCTGGAAAAAATCTAAAAAGTTAGCCAATTGAAATACATGCACTTCAATAACTTGCTAAACATAGTTAGTTGCTATTATTTATATAAAAAACATCTGTCAACATACACTCATGCTTTTCCTACCACTTGAGTCTCCCATGCACTAACCATGTCTCCATGAAATTTTTTAGATAAAATCCTATTTTAAAAAAGTCAACCCTATACTTGATATGCTGAACATAGACATCCACAACATCTCTTGTAGCAATTAATGGGTGCAGATACTTGCATAGTTCAGAAGCAATATATAACCAACATGGGGCCATCCAGTTCCATAGTCTGGATCAATTGCTATTGCACTTGGGTCCCTTGGATTCAATGACTCTGGCCGTATCCTTACATTCCCTGGTTTATCTTGTTCATGAAGAGTGAGGTATGCCTTTTTCAAATGATGTTGGTAGTGGTTCTCATGAGCAGCACCGATGCACTTGAATGGTAAAGCCTGGACGATTTCTTCCTCCTCATCACTGAACTTGTCATCACTTTCTGCCCACTTGTCAGCACTTTCTGCCCTTGATCACCTCTTTCATTATCATACCATCCTGAACAGGCTCAAGAATTTAGCCAACAACTCAAGTAAATCTCTTTCTACAAAATCATAACAAGAAAATTATTATTTCATGCACCGTCATCTCTAAAATTAGCAATCTTACACAAAAGCACATGTAACCTCTAAATTCTTAATATACCTAACTGTGTTAGGTCTGTGTATTAGAACAACACACAAACATAGCAATATTTAGATGAAAATTGAAAAATATTAAACTACAGTTTGCACATTTAAACCACCATCCCCAACTAGATACAAACAGGCATCATACTCAGCAAAAATTTATAAAATATATACAAATAACAATACCTTCAGACTTATCTTAAAACCAATGTCCATCATCAATTGTATTCGCTGTCAATATATGATCCACATCGATTAGCAAACTCATCAGGAATAGGGTCAAACTAAAGGGTTGAATTTAATATTTGAAATATTGCGCCATAATTTGTACAGTGTATTTATAAAATTACAGTACAATATTGAAAACAGCAAAGCTGAAATTTGAAACAAGTCAACTGTATTGCATTGTAGGATACCAACCTTAAATACTGCGCTTGTTTTCACGTTGATGATATACGGAGTAAACGCCATCCAACTTAGAAAGAAGAGCCTTGCTAGTTGCTATTGGGATTAACACAAATACACAATTCCTTCGCGGATTATTTATAAAGCTAAAAGACAGCACGTCCAATGCAAATCAATTTAATATAAGGTAAACTTGGTATAGTAACTCACACGTTATAATGAGGATCACAACAATACAGCAATAACATGCTATTTTCACGAAGTATTGCAGCCTGACAATTATCTTGTCTTTCGAATGCTTCCATATTTGTTTACTCAGAGAGATGTTCACTCCACGACAGTCAAGGAGTCATTGAAGCCACGCGTGGAATTAGGCGCTCAAACCCATGATGCTTTGCGGCCTGCTTGTCCAACCTCCTCTGTGAATAAGCTATAATTACCTTGTCACCCTTGTAAGTGAAATTGTCTTGTTTTGTATCATGTCAAAACTTCTTTATTTAGCTTGCATTTTATTTAAACTGTTACAATCTCGTGCTTTCTTCATGCTACAAATATATTTATAAATTTTTTATATCTACATCATATCCCAGTGCCATATCCAGAAACAGTATCGTCACGCATTCGCAAACTGTCGGCGTAATACCGTAATGTTTAAATTACATGAAGTATATCGTATATAAATGGTAGGAATTCTAAATTATTTTAAAATTAAAAAAAAAATAAGTACAATGTTAAACACAAATGGCGCACTACATCGTGGTTTTAGGTTCTGCAAACAAACAAACAACAAACGATCTATTGTATGGTATGTAAGATGTAATCATTGTTTTACTGTTTATTGTATATACAGGTCTGGAAAATTTAATAGACGAGACTGCAAATCGCTCATAACCTAGCTCACGTATATTGGCTTACTGCATTTTTAAATCACCCCCTATGGAGGATACTGGAATTTCCAGACCCCCCTTCCTAAAACTCAACAAAAAGAGAAGAAATTTCCAAGGGAGGGTCTAAATTTTGAAGAAAATCTGTGGAAATTCCACGGAGTAGGTTAAAAAAACAACATGGAAATTCCAAGGGATGGTTGCCTATTACACAAAAAATGTGGAAATTCCAGAGACTAGGTGAAAACCATCGGTGGAATTTCCAAGGGATGGGTAGAAATTCATTAAAAATCCATGGAAATTCCATGGGGTAGGCTGGAAATTTGTAAAAAATCGCGGAATTCCAGGGGGTAGGGCGGAAATTCATCAACATCTGCGGAATTCCAGGGGAGGGGGTCCAAAAAATGGATGTCCTCCATAGGGGGGGGGGTGGATTAAAAATGCAATAAGCCATTTTTCGTTTAATAGCCACTATAATTATAACTAGGAGCTAGAGTATAACCATGCACATGTCGAAGTACAACCATTGTATACAATGCAGTGCTCGATCTTACATGCAACAGTGCACAAATTACACGATGACTTTATTATATAAATCAACACTCGTACTCATTGACTTTCGTAGTCTCCTACTGTTGTTCTAATTAATAGCAATTAGGCTTTGAGAAGCCATGTAGATTATAGATTAATTTGTAGCCCAGCCTCCATAGACCATAGTCCATATAAATTGTAGCCCAGCCTCCATTTACACCAATAATGAAATTAGCTCATTCTGGTAACTAGCCCAATTTTGTTGCTGGTAGTGTATGGGATCTATGGGTCTTTTAGATCCCAGAATTACCTAATTATTGTAAAGTCTGCATAAAGCAGAAAAAGGCTCTGTTTTTGTCAATGACCGGTGCCTATTGAGTGACCAAATATTGTCAGCCTAATCCACTTATTTGATTGCTAATTCATGTTGCATTACTTTTGATTGCAAAGCACCTGGATTACATGATTTGCCCGAACAATAGCAGCAATTGATAAACTTGAGTACATGGACTGAATGTATCAAGCAGAATGCATGTTGGCGATTTTAAGCGATCTTAGGCGATTTTAGACGATTTAAGAGAATTTCGACAATTTTAACCCGCGATTTAATGCGATTTTAGGCGATTTTAGGCGATTTAGGGCGATTTAAGGCGATTTACCGCCCCAGAGTAGGCCTTAAATGCTAAGAAGCATCACATATTTTATCAATATTTTAGTTGTAATTTACGCACGAATGAGAGCCATAGCTTGAATAATAGTCTCAGTGAATATGCGAACTATATAACTACGTGTAAAAATACTATTTAAAACAATATCATTTGAGCAATATTTAATTTGAGCAATTTTTCTGTCTGGCTTCGCTTCGCTTAAATTCAGAGTAAATTAGTTAAACCAAGTACCCCTCAAGTAGCCGCTGTACAAGGCAGGCGCATGTCCCTCAATTCTGGCCATGGGATTGCTAGGAATATCAGAAACAAAATGTTTGAAAGGGACCGTTTGGAAAGAAAAGCAATTTCGTCGGATTTAAGTGATGACTGGAACCAGTATAAACATTACAGGAATGGTGTCAACATTGCAATGCGTGAAGCTAAGAAAGTTTATTACAAAAGCAAATTTGAGAAATATCAAAATAATCATAAACAGGCTTGGAAGACGATTAATGATATCCTTGGGAGAAAAGGGCACACAATTACTTCTCATATGAGAATGGCTAATTGTGGGGGGTACGCATCTATTATAATGTCTATTATAAGTAGATAACCCCCCACCCCCCCCAAAGGGTGCCGACAGTGACGTAACAATAGTAAGGATTATGTAACAATGGAAAAGTAATTAACATCAATTAACATCAATTAGCGATCACGCTACCTTGAATGTTAATAAGGGATTTCGATTGTTTATTAGAATAACAATATGCTACCGTTATCATTTGAGTAATGACATTCTGGTATCGGTATCATTAAACCGATTTCAATAAAGCATCAATTAGCGTCACGTGGTCATTAAAATCTAAGACAAAATGATGTCTTATCAAAGAAACAGAATACCGTTATCATTGAAATAATAACACGGTGATTTTAGTAAAATAACAATACGATGATACCGTTATCATTTAAATAACAACATGCTGATATTGATAGGAAAATTATTATAAATAGATAAGAGCAATTTCATTTTCTGACGAGAACTTTTGGTGAGAAAAGATTATTTCTTACGAAATACTTTGAAAATGAGTTTTTTCCAATCGAAAGAGCGTGCGGCATTTTGTCAGTACTAATGGACGAAGTTGCATCTTATGAAGTGAAAAATTTATGTGGTCTTATGGATGCTATATTTTCTGAAGCTGTTTCCGATGAAATAGCGAAAATACGTAAGGAAAAGTGTTGTGACTGTAAAGTGGATTACCCGAGTCAGAGAAGACATGAATGTCTCATGTTAACACTTGAAGAAAGTTGGACAACGTACGGTTTGGACGCCATAGAGCAAGTAATCGAACGGGGAATACTCTGGAAGCTGTTTAACGAAGCTATTCGTGTGCAGAAATTGGATTATTACGAAGTTGTAAGAGAACATTATGAGAACTTGACTAAAAATTATGAAATAACTCTTGAATTCCTAAAGGATTTGAGGTATAACTCAGAATTTTTCGACCACCAAGCTATTTTGGGTTATCTATATTACTGGAGCGAAAACCAGTGTGCATGAAACAATATGCATGAAACGTTAGAACAGTATGTATAAAATACTTTTACATGTAATATTTTTGTTATGAACAAATTATTATTAAACGTAATGTTCAAAAGAAGAACGCAAATTATTTTAGAGCAAAATATGCTTGGATGCATACATAAATTAACAAACAGATCCGTCAATGAGTGCAAACGAAATACTCAAGAGAAGTTCGTTTTTTTTTTATGCAGATACCCTTGCAATAAATCGCTTGTAGTTCACAACGTTCAATGTTAATAAATATACCAAGCGAAGTAAGCACATGCATGCACGCGTTACTATGCGTTGTTATGTTCGCTATTTGCATACACCTACGGTCATTAAACGATCATTAGCGATAAGATGCGTACAGTGTACATCATAATAGGGATATTGAAGGATAATTCCGGGCTATTATAAGCGTGGGAACAGAGC